ATGCTGTATCATCTGTAAAATAGAGACAAAAAGTATCTACCTCAGGGGATGCTTGGAAGGATTAAATAGGAGAGTGTGGATTTGATTAGTGCAAGCTCATAAAAAAGCGTGTTGGCTTGGTGTTAGGCTAATTCATCCTCTCTACCCTTCTGGTTGTTATAATGTTATAAAATGTTGTTATGGAATAAAATTTCCAATTCTTGAGGAACAGGGCAATTAGAATCTCTTACTGTGTCATCTGAGGAGAAAAACATCCTTCTTAAGAAAACGTACCTGTTTTTCTAGTTTCTTTTACCTGTAGGTAGCCATGATGCAACTCTTCAGTATATTGTTTTGTCTTATACATTGACTCAAGGGTTTTACTAAAACTCATGATGAATGAAAAAAAAGAGTAATGTGAATATAGAATTATGAAATCCAACATGGCACAGTTTCTTATTGTTTTGCATTTATTTTGTAGAACATGGGACTCAATGTAGCCACTTCCCATCAGTTTTTCAGTGGCAACCCAGGGAGCTGTAACCATCAATTGCCTTACTCAAATGGAAGATGGATGAATGATCTTTTCAGACCCCAAAGCAATGCAGATTTGGCAAGGGGAGTAGGAGTCACCATTAAAGCAATCCACTTTTTCAGGCGTGACACATTTTGTATTCCAATTTTTAAATGTCTTCCGGTTTGTAGGAAAATGTAATGACATTTTCTGGAAGACGTTTTGAAGTTTAATTAAAATGCAGTTTTTAAAACATATCCCTTGTGCTTTGCACTTGTAAATATAAGCATATCAGGAACTTACACAGAGATGTGAATGTTCTCATCCTGATGTTGGGTAGCTCTGGTTGGGAACTGTGTACATTAATCTTTTGACAAAATAGCAGTGTGCCTCTTTTGCACAACTGGGCCCTGTGGGTAACTTCTGTGCGGTGTATTCATAGGAAGAAAACCTGATATTTTAAATTCTCCTCCCTTCCTCTGGGAGGTCGCTGTGTACTCAACAAAAAACCCTTGCTTCTTGTACTTACAGAGCTGAAAAAGTTCCTATTAAACCAGAGGTTGAAAAACAAAGGGCACTCTGGCTAACACTTGACAACTTAGAGCAGTTATTCTCCAAGCTTCTTGTTACTGGAATAAGAAAATGGCATGACCTAGGAATCTGAAATACTCAAAACTCTGATCCATCTCCTATCTCTGGCAGACATTTTGCTCAACTCTGCTTTTCAGCTGATTCATTCAGAAGCTGAAAGAACTTTTAAATTTTGTTCAATGAATATTTATTGAACACCTGCTATGTACTAATCCTATTATTTGATATGGGGTAGTATGTGTTGAATGATAAGGTTCCTGCCCTTAAGAAGTCCACAAAGGGAAGTAACATTGGTAACTTTGAAGGACTAGCACTTTTCTTTAGGAGTTACCCCAGGACACATGATAATATAATTCATTAAAGTAATACCTTTAGCCTTTGGAATCTTAGTAGCTACCAGTGTTTAATACCTCCTCTGGAATGTTCAATTGAGTCCTTGGAGGAGCTTACCATTAGCAGCATTTTGCTAACTATATAATAGACTTCTTTAGTAATAGTCTTGTTCTTAACACCTGCTGAGTTAGTAAATAAAGGGAAGTGGCAAACATTTGTGATTGGAATGTCTTTTACCCTTTATTTGAAGAAGGAATGGTGGCTCTGCTGGGAACACTTAGAACTCTCAATAAAAGTGCATACGATTTACAGAAGATGAACCCTCTCAGCTACAACACATTATTTCTGCCCAGCGCTGATCACGTTTTTCTGTGGACTTTGTGGTCAAAGGGAAAAATAGCAGTTAAACTGTATCTTACAGTTTTAGAATTAAACTCTAGAATTAAACTCAAGATTATCCTAAAGTTAACACCCTGTGATGGTGTACGTATTTTCAAATTTCTTACAAAAGGCATTAACTTGTGTTCTTCAAGCACCAATGGGCATCTATTAAACTGTGTTTCAGTATTTAGTGAATGGACTCTAAGATAAAATTGAAGTTCTACGTGACTTTGTTCTTCTTGGGTCCATTACTATATGACTAGAAAGAGCTTTCTGAATTTTAAAAAGATTGACTCCCTTTGTTCTTGCTTGGTAAATACAGAAACTTAAATGCTTGATTTGCTCAACTGGTACTCAGAATAGGTAATAGAAAATTAAAACTGAATTCTTAACCATCAAAATGTATGAATTTGCTGTCTCTGAAGACAAGCATCAGTTTCTCCATTATTTCTAGGATTGATGCCGCCTGCATTCCAAACTAATTTTTGTAACAAGGAAGGGAGATGCCAATATTCACTTTAAATATTTCAGGACCAGGAGCACCTGGGTGGCTCAGTCAGTTAAGTGTCTGGCTCTTAGTCCCAGCTCAGGTCTTGATCTCAGGGTCGTTGAGTTCAAGCCCCACGTTGGGCTCTGCACTGGATGTGGAGCCTACTTAAAGGAAAAAAAATAAAGATACAAACTGAGGGTTGCTGGAGTGGAGGAGGGTGGGAGGGATGGGGTGGCTGGGTGATGGATATTGGAGAGGGTATGTGCTATGGAGAGTGCTGTGACTTGTGTTAGACTGATGAATCACAGACCTGTACTCCTGAAACAAATAATACATTGTGTGTTAATAAAAAAAAGATAAATATTTCAGGGCCAATAATGTCAACATGGACTTTGATTCATAACTTAATGTAGCCCTGAATGTATTAGTTGTGTTGTAAGCACAAACCTTTAGAATGTACCTGTTTTACAACAATGGCTAAGGAAATACAGAAGAAAGGAATAGGGGCTTCACACTTAACTATCACTTCTTGTCTTTTGCTTGGAGTTGGACTCCCCAATGTCCATGACTATATCTTAGATGTCTAATTAAGTACCAAATTTCTGTCTGAATGACATTGGAGAGAGTTAATAGTGAGTTAGTGGATTAGGTTTTCTTAATTCTAGAATACTTAGTCCAACTCACCCTTATTTGTTATTGCTTTATAAACATGACTTAAGTCAAGGCTGAATCATATTCACTTAGATTGTAATTTGCTAAGAGTTTATTTATATTTAAACACTTATTATCTTAAATTATATATTTCAGTTTTTCTTTCATAGAAAATGACAATGTCATAAAAAAAATCACCATTTGTTCTTAAAAGGCTTTTTTGCTTCCTTCATCTTTCCACTCCATGCCTTATCCTATGATTTTAGTCTTTACCATTGCTCGAAGACCTTCATATGACTCTAAAGGCAATAATTGTATTAATAATGCTTTGGTGAGATATGATAACCATAAATTCCCAAGTTCCCTCTTCCCCCTTTTCTTTTCAGGGATGGGCTATTGGTGAAGAAAAACTTAAAGATGACCTGAACCTGATACTTCCTTGCCTTAATGTTAGAGTATTTACCAAGCCAGTGTTTAAAAAACATATTTTTCATGTGAACAACTTAGATGGATTTGGTGCAATCTTAAGATTTAGAGTTTCAGATGGAGTTTTGCAAAATGTGGTCATATCTGTTGTTATGGTACTCCAAACTAGTTGCATTATACAGGTTTAGTGTTTTGGCCTTCAATTTTTGAATGCTAAAAACCATATCCAGCAAATCCATATGTGAAGCTAAGCACAAATTCTAGGTTTTGCTTATTCACATAGGTCCACATTTCTTACCAAAAAAATAGTAAGATGGGTCCACTTTTGAAGGCTATGGGACTCAAATGAAAATATGAATAAGTTCAATCTTTAAATATTTGAATATCCCAGAAACATTATTCTAATCACATAGAGCTCAGACCAATCTCTCCCTTTGTGTGTATCTTTCCTTTTTAGAATGTTTGTAGAGGGGCGCCTGGGTGGCTCAGTTGTTAAGTGTCTGCCTTTGGCTCAGGTCATGTTCCCAGGATCCTGGGATGGAGCCCCGCATCGGGCTCCCTGCTCCGCGGGAAGCCTGCTTCTTCCTCTCCCACCCCCCTGTTTGTGTTCCCTCTCTTGCTGTCTCTCTCTGTCAAATAAATAAAATCTTAAAAAAAAAAAAATGTTTGTAGAACCTTGGATCATTTAATAGTTTCTTGAATCCAGCATTTAGTTGTTTCTTATAAATGTATGTATAATCTACCCACTAGAATGAGAGAGTCATGAGGACAGTTACAATATTTTACTTCTTGTGCATCTTCCAAACATCTAAAAGATATCTAACAGGATTGGGAGTATAAACAGAATACTTCCCAAATATGTGCTTGCTTGATTCATAGACTTTTTGTTTTGTTGTACTGTTTTACTGATGGGTGGGTCCTAAGCTGTGGACAGTTAAAGAAAAAATTCTGTAGAAGAAAAGATGTCTGTTTTCATCTGAACATAGAGGTAGGAACAAGTAGGATGACACTCACAGTGGAAAGGTGATTGCATATGGTGTCACACCATGCTGTTGGCAACCCAAGTCCCTGGAGCCGGGAGTGATACAACAGGAAAGCAGTCTTCCTCAGGGAATGTTTTTTTGAGTTATTATGTATTTTCCAGATCTCAGTCCTTTTCCCTTTCTCTGGTAAAATTCTCAAGTAGCTCTTTTATGCTTGTTGTTGTTACCAGTAAGAGCAAGCTCTTTCAAATTAAACTTTACATTGGTGAAAATTGCTCCTGGCCTTAAGGTTCCTGATCTGCCTCATTCCCTTTTCTCAGCTCTGGCTGACTCTCTGGACTGAGTTTCTATAATCTTTTCTCCTGACTTCTCTGCTTTTTTTCCTGCCCTCTCCCATCTTCACTTCCAACTGGACATACCTCATAAAAAGATGTCTACATAGTTCAGCCATTCTATTGAACTGAACTTAAATATTGGACGAAATACATTTTAAGTGGTTTTTAACTAAAAGCTAATGTGAAAATGTTGGAATATGTACCAATAAAAACATATTATACTGAAAACCATATTCAAATACAGTTAAAAATATTACATCATGTTCCTTCTAGTAGAAATTTTAAAGGGTATACATAATTCACCTTCTGAGTCATGATGTAATTTAGATTATATTTTATTAGACATTCTTTACAAATTTAAAATACTGCTATTTTTACATGCAGAGGAAAATCAGTTTGGATAATTATATTTAGGCATTATTAAAATCAACCACAAAATAAAGACACTTTATTGTGTCATTTATCAACATACTTGATATGTATATCTAAAGTGCATTATGTTACAAAAAATAGAGAAATTCAGCAGCACCAAGATACATTTACAAAATAAATACATCAGTTGACAAAATAAATTATGGTAATTGTGATAATAATAATTGGATTAGCCTTGGCAAAAAAAAAAATATTCACAATGACCAATGTGCAGTTTCATAGAGCAATGGGGAAGACAGTTTTATTCCAATGCATTTACAGTATTTACAGACAATAAATATTTCTAATACTTTCCATATGTTCACTATTACAGAATCCTGTAATACGTCCTCTGAAGGTCTTTGCTAAAAATTTCAATGCCTCCTGAAAAGAGAAGGAAGGGAATGAAGAGGAGAAAATAGGTTAATTCTCCTTAACAAATGAAAAGGCATAAAAAATAAAGGAACACAGAATTACAATGGAAAAGATTCCAGGGATTTCTTGTAAATATTCCCAATAGGAGGTATCAGTGGGATCCACCTGATTCTCCAGAACCTTTGCTACAGCAGGGTCTTCAATATGATCAAATGATCAATGAAGTGAAGGAAGAGAAAAGGCTTGCATTTCTAATTCTATAGACTCTGTCTGAAAAAGGAGACCCTGAGAGAATTTTCCAAAGCTGCCAATTGGAAAGTCAATTGGAGGAGAAGGGACACATTCGAGAGTCTGGAAATAAGGCTAGGTTGTGCAGTCCATCATCAAATACACCTTGCTAGAAGTTTATTCCCCAGCGATGCCTGACATGGGTGATCCAGAATTTGCTTATTCTGTTCAGGTTTCCATTTGGCCAACCTTTCGCTAAGATAATAGCTGTTAGGAGAGTAGAGGGTGTGATTTGGAGTAAATGTTGGAAGGATGTGGAATTGAACAGTATGTTTGGTTGGTGATTTGATGATATCAGTCATTCCATTAGCTGTCCTTAAACACTAACGAACGAAGCTATTTTTGGATTTTAGTTTTTGAAGTCAAAACTAAGAACTATTTATCTCTCACTCTGCTGGTTTTTGGAATTGATCTGGAATTAGAAATTGGGAAAGCTCATCTTAAATTAGGGAATAAGAATCAATTGATTTGAAAGTATAAAATAGCAGTGTTTCAGCTCACTGTGTTTATCACGCAGAATAAATTACCACCGGGGATTGACACCTTTCCTAACTCTTTCTAAAACACTGTAGTGACAGTATTTTAAGATGGGCCAACAGCATTTTCTCTGCTTTCTCTTCTCTTTGTGTGTCTATTTCAGTGATTTCTAAGGAAGCACCTATAGAATGGAACTTGATTGGCTGTGCCATTGCATTAACAGCCAGAGGTGGGCAGAGTTTTGCATGGTAGACTCATATGGGGGTGAGACCTACAGAAGAGCCAACTCTTGACAATTTAGGAACTTTTTGTGCAGCTTGAAGAAAGAAAAGCAAGTTGAACATTTAGGGTGTTTTAATGTCTTAAGAAATTGACATCTTCAGCAATCGTTTTGCTTGGAATGGCAAAATAGCTCCTAACTGCAGAGAAAATAACTTAAGATTAACATTTTTAATGGTGGGTGGATGTACGTTATGAATAAAGCCCAAAAGGTGACTGTGAAACTCAATAATTTGTGTGCTGTATCAATTTTAAAATGTTTTTGTACTGAAAGGTATCTAGTGAATTGAACTTAAGAATGATGCAAGCAGGGAGGGAATGACGAGTATTTTGAACAATTATTTCCACAGAAGGAAGGAAAGAGAAAAGAGATAAAGGACCAAGGAAAAGATCTTTTAATTATATTGCCCCTTGTCCAGCCAGTTTGCTTGTTATAATGGCACGTTTTGGAATAGCCAAGTAAAACCATATAACATGACCTGAAAGTATATGTGTATGTTTTGTGTGTGTGTGTGTATGTGTGTGTGTGTATGACAACACTTTAGAATCTCTTTTGAATACTGAGAAGCTTTTGTATTATTTCTAAGTCAATATTTACCAAGGCAAAATATATGGTCTCAATTAAATGAGTCCTACTGTATCTGGACATCTCATTTACAACATCAAAAATTTCAAAATGTAATTTCCAACATTTGAACTATATACCTCCCACTGGTTCATGTGAGAGGAGCCACACAGTTTTAGCTCAGTAATTTCTCTGAAGAAATACATATATTTTACTAAAATTTGTGCTTGCCATATCATCAGATCACTGTATAATAATGCAAAGAGACTAAAGAGAGGACACTAATAAAAGGTTGGTGGCTTATGAAACTGCAAAATAGTTATTCTGAAAAGATTCTCTTTGGATTAGAACATTTGCATAGCCCCATAGAGTCTCCTCGGTACACTCCTTAATTTCCCCGATCTTCCCTGCACCTCTGTTGGGTTGTACTGGGAGAGGGCCAACATCTGGCTGCCAAACAAACAATGCTTTCCATGAACGTCCCTCACAACCAGGGAACAGAAAGGAGAAAGCAGAAACATTCTATTTCTTTCAGTTCTAGGTCTGGATTTGATTAGGCCACTGCCTAATTTTTACTAGATCTCTTTAACATAGGGGTAGCTTTGGGCATAAGAATTGATGAGTGCTGAATTTCATTAAATTCCCAGATACTTCAGAGCATTGCAAATCCTAAATAAATGAAATCCATAAAAAAGTATACTTTCGTTTTCAGAATTCTAATAAATGTATGTACACACAGAGTAAGACAATGGATAAAAAATAGGTTCTGACAATAAAGCCCTTGCATTAGTTATAAGTATGTACAGTTAGGATCCTATCTTAAAATACACTGAATATGTGCACTGAGCCAAGATTTACAGGGTTTGTTACCCATTACAGATCCGTTAGATATTTGCAAAATAGGTCATTCACTCTGCTGAAGGTTTCTCTAGTGTCATTACTCCTTAATTACTGAAGTGGAAGTATTTGTCCAATATAATTATCATTTTATATGCTATTTAATGATGAGTTTTGTCAACCTAAATCTAAGAGACAAGTGATGGTAAGTAGGTTCAAACTCCCCTTTGAAATATCACCCTGTAATCCTATCTCTACTAGTCAGAGGAAAGGCCTGGAGAAATAACAAGGGACTCTAATTAATGAGATAATTAGCTGCATATGACACGTCCTTGTGTGGTTTCCTCTTTCTTTCAAACCCCACAGAAGAGCGATACAGAAAAGCAAAAACCAGAAAAGATCCTGTCGGTGAAAATGCCTGAATCAGGAGGCAGCACTAACACAGTGCTGGTCCAAATATCCAGAAATGGGGAAACAAATCCAGTTCTGAGGACTACCTATCCCAGTTCCCAGGGCTGTTGAGGTCATTTAGCCATGGATTGCCTTGGCTTTCTGGTTTATAAAATGAGGTTAATATTTGCTGCTTTTTCACCTCACAGAAACACACATACCCAGATAGATAGAACAATCAGCACTGGATCTAAAAGTACCAAAACAACAAGTTACGCTTTATTGTTTACTATGACAAGCATGTAACCCATGTAATCTCGTTTAATCTTCACCCAGCCCTGTGAGGTTGTTATAATCATTATCTTCATTTCACAGAAGAGAAAAGTGAATCTTAGACCATGTAACTTGCCCACGGTTGTGAACTTTAATAAGTTCAGACCCGAGACCTGAACTGAACTGAAGGTATTTGACCCCGAAGTCAGTGAATGCCATTACCACCTGCATCCATGAGCCAAGGATGAACAAGCCATGTAAATGTGAAGTCTTATTATTCGTACTGCAATACCCTGGAAAAATTATTTCAACTTGCCAGTGGATAAATAGATACATGAGAAAAAACTGTTGTCCTTCGCAAGTCAAAACTTAAAAATTTTCAGCATTCATGACTTTTTTTTCATGAGTTGGTAGAAACAAGAGTTAAATTTAATTAAACAAATTGAGAGTGTGTGTTTAAGTGTTTAATGTTGATTTAAATGAAAATAAATTTAAGGTTTAATTAAATATAATTAAATGGAAAATGTGACCAGCTCAGAATTGTCTATGATACAGTATTGTTCTGTAGTGTTTGTAGATCATATCAAAGCCTTCTGGGTTCGCCCCTGAAGTGAAAAAAAAAAAAGTAAGAAATGACAAAACGATCAAGAAAGTTTGCCAAGGTGCGAGAGTAGGGAAATAAATATACTTCTGCAGCAAATGATGAAGATGGTCCCAGGCTTCTGAAGCCGGACTAAGAAGGGAAAATCTTTGGTAGAGTAGTAAAGGATTGGTGTTGGGGTTGAGGAATAGACACAGGTTATCCAAGCCCCATTTGTGTTTAGGGGGTGGGAGGACACTGCTTGAGGGCAGATAATATTCTGAGCCATCTTGCTTTTGTAAGCTTTTAAATTGTGGAGCAATGGATAGAGGCACAGAAAGGGAGGACATTCTAGGTTTGTTCAAGCTGTGGTGGGTGGAAGGACCCTACACACCCCAGCTGGGGGCCACACCAAGGAAAGTCTATGGGGCATAGAAGCCACTTACCGTAAATTGAGCTCCGGCGATGTCACAGAGATGTCATATGGGTGGTCCCCTTCTCGCCCACTCCCAGCCACACCAGAGTTGAGCCAGGCAGACCGAGTGCGCCGTTTCTTTTTTTCTTGCTCCTTGCGTTTTCCAGGTTTGCCTTTCTTTTTCTTGCCAGGTGTCTTCAGTGGCTGCTCTTTGTATGTCTCTACCTTGTTGGTTTCCTGAGTTAGGTATCTGCCCTCATCATCAGACCCGAATCGGACGGGGTGGTTCTTTGTGTTGGGAGCAGGCTTGGAGTTAGGGGACACCTCCGAGGTAGCTCTGATTTCAGCTGTGTGGATTTCTGCGATCAGGTGGTGAAGGAAGAATCGTCGCCGTAAGTCTTGGATAGATTTCCCCTTGTCATGAAGGAGCTGATGTTCAGACACAGCTCTTTTGCTTTAAGGGAAAAAACAGCAGGAGAGGAAGAAAATGATAATATTTTAGTTGTTGGTATAGACCTCCAAGACAAGAGGAAAGGCACAAGCTGGAAGGGAAGCAAGCTTGTGGAGTGGGGAAAGAGCAGAGAGGGAACAGAAGTGTGGGCAGTTTGGAGTCTGCAGCCCCAAATCCCATTTATGCTGCTCCCCAGGTCTGTGGCTTCGGTGAGAACATGGGCCTCTCCATTGAAAAGGCAGGGTCAGATTCAGAGATTTCTATGCTGTCTTCTCAACTTAAAACATTATGATTCAGTTATTCTCAGCAATGGACAGAAAAAACTGAGCTTTTCATGTTTTTTGGACTTGTGCTGGGAAAATAAATCCAGACGTCCTAGCCCGTGAAATTAAAAGGAGGCTGAATGTACTTGAGTACTCACCCCGGTGCACATGCACGCACGCACACCCACCCACCCACCCACACACACACCACTCCCCTCGTAAGAAAATAATAATACTGGATCTCAAAGAACAGCAAGCTGTAAGAGTAAAGGCAAAGAGAGGCTGGAGATGAAGTGAGCAGTAGAGCCTGTCTAGGGAACTACCTAACAGACTGTATTTTATTATTTTATTTTATTTTATTTATTTATTTTTTCAGACTGAATTTTAATATGAGGAGTAGAGGATAGGCTACCAGGAGCCTATATTTGAAAGCCAAGTGTCAGAGAGAGAGAGCGTATGTGTATTTTTCTGTAAAGTAGTGGGTGGTCTCTTTAAAATGGGTTTCTTTGTGTTTAAATTGAGATCATTCTATTTCTTCCATGCATCAAGTTACTTTTTTTTTTTTTTTAATTTAGAATTGCAGAGGGTATTATCCTTAGGACTTAAGTGAGACATTTACCTTTCTACTTGTTCTCTTTGTCTTAAAAAATGTCTCTAGGAACAAGTATGAAGTGACTTTTCGGTTTAAACAACACTCTAATGAAAAGAACAAACTAATTTCCCATCAGTCCTCTTAGATGGCACCCTGACTCTTGTTTAAATGTCCATTCACATATTCTTGTATCATTCTGTGTGTATATTATTAACCATATGCAGGGATCACATAGATTAATCAGTCATATCATGCCTGCTTCAGCTCTGCCTTACCTTACTCCAATTTCTACCACTGGGTAACTCTTCAAAGCGGTTCTCTGTCAAGTGTCTGAGGGTACTTCACAGGGCTATCTCCCATGTATTCTTACCTCTCTCACACACAGTATCTGGGTCCCTTATTTGCCTTCATTAGTACAACTTCTTTAACTCCTCAGAGAAATATGACAATAAAAATAGCATTATCTTCATTTTATAGATAGGGAAGTTGAGGGTCAGAGAGATTCAATGACAGAAACAGGGATCCACAAACCAGGTCCTCTGATTCTGAAACCAAAGATCGCCTTTCAATGACCTCAATCCTTTCTCCTGTGGAAGTGTATGCTGAGGAAAGAAGAAGTGAAGGGCATAGAGTAAAAAGCCTGTGGTGGGAACCATGAGGGACAGTGGGCAAATGGAGAGCAATTTGTCAGTTTCCTTGAAGATCAAGCTTACTGCTCCAGCAAGGCCATTTTCATCCCCCAAAATAAGGAACTAGGATTTCTAGAGTTTGGATTATCACTGGGGGAAACTGAGAGATTTTCTAGTGATACTGTGAATCAAAGAAGAGTAAGACATGAAAATACAGGCATTATTTCTCTAGACCTTATAGCCAGAATACCAGCTTCCTTTTAGTATTTTAGTGTGTGGACCGACTTTAAGCCATGCAGCTTGTTCAAAAAAGACATGACTTAATGGAAAGGAATTTAACAGGAGCCTGGTTTAAATGAGGCATGAAGGAGTCTCTCTTCCTTTTTGAAGGTGCCACATGTGACTAGATTAAAATTCACTTACTTTATGGCAACAGTTAGTATTCTGGAAACTTTTAATAATATACAAATTTGAGGTTTTGGTATAATACATTTATACTCCCTAATAACATTTTTAAAGAATAGGTCTGAATTAATTGCATATTTCATAAGTATTGCAGTTTAATAAGTATCCTTTAGCAAAATGTCACATGAAAGGAAGTTCCGAACCAGTGATCATTTATAGGATCTGGGTCTTTTCTTTCTTTCTCAATCCCTGGCAGATAACCACCCCATCTGTATTGCTCTCCAAATGTATAATATAACCCATTCTAGCTTAACTCGAAGCCAAAACTTTTAATAGTCGGTCTGTTCTAATCAGGCCACCCCTGCTTATATGCCCCCTCTGCCTGGCATATATACCTGTCATCTTGGCCAGCCTGTCAACTGTGAGTCACAGTGCCTTCTTAACCCAAGAACTGTACTTTCTCAGGATGGTTCTCATGAGAAAAGGAGGGCTCACGCTACCCTCCTGTTTTATAAAAGTCTACAAAGATGGCACAACTCTGTCCAGTTTAAAATAGTGTCTCTCTTGTGAGGTACCAAGATTCTTTCTGCCTTTTAGGAGTAATTGTTAACATAATACTAGAAAACACAGATTTTCTTAAATGCTAAATCTCAAACGCTGTGAACACAAGGAACAGCTCAAAGACTTCTGCATTGAAAATATTGTGAAGAATGAATTTCTGATTGGGCAACTGCACTGGAAGAGCAAGAATATAATACTATCTTTATGGTCAACAAGGGAATAAGATCCCTAGAGCGTTTTATTTATTTTCAAAACAAGACACAAACCGACACAAGGGTAAATCACTAGCATGTACAAGCTAGATATACATAGGTGGGGAGCAATGAATCTAAATTAAGGAGGCTTTCCATTTAGATAATTCTGAAATATTTAAGTGATAAATATGGCCTCAATAATAGTCTATTACTCTATACATCTGCAAACATCCCCTAGCCCAGTGGTTCACACGGCATTTGTTACAATCCTCATATGGTACGTTTATGGTCTCCTTTGATTATTGTAAAAAAATTTTCAGAAATATGGAGGAAATGCTTAACAGAGATAAGTATAAATCCAGTCAAAATATAGCTCTTCTGCTCTAAAGAGAAATAACTCTCAAGGGAGTTTTCAGGGAAGAAGAGTAAATTCAAGGTTCTATCAAGGAACGCAGGGAGTAAAGGGAGTGATAGGACTGCCTCTTCCAACACAGGAAAGAGCAGCATGCTTGTGCCGATGCTCAGCTACTTAGGAAGGAGTTTGGGTTTGAGAAGAAAATTTCTGTGGTACTGCACGAGTCAGGGTTCGGGTGTTAGAGTGAAGATGACTCACCACAAGTCCCTTCCAACCCAAATGACTCAGTCAAAAGTTATGCTTTTCATTAAATGGAATAGACCCAGTCTGGCTCCCAAGCAAATCAGCCAATTATGTTTTAGGTTTCTGAATCTGCTGGAATTCCCTCTCTAACTTTAACACAAAGGTTGCTACCTGCCGAAAGTCATGTTCATTGGGACAAGAATGTCTATAGGCCTCCCTTTCCAACTTCCAATTTTTTCATGCTCTAGCCCCATTAATTAAAATCTTTTGGACTATGACAACTTATAATTGCCTCCTTTGCGTGGCTTAGGAAGTGTTATTGTTGTAGTAGTCCCTCCCCCCCGCACACACATACCCTCCAAAGTCATTCCCTAGTTACAAAAAACATCTAACGCAGTTTCCTAATACTTGGTGTGAAAAGTAATTGGGGAGTAATATGATTTGATTATATGTTAACATTTCTTTCAAGAAGTTAGGTTGATTTAGTATAATAGTACACTAATGTTTTGTCTAGCACACAAAATTTACTATTACTTGGCAGCAAAGCAAAAATAATGACTTGTTTTTTTTAAACTTCATTTGGCTGTAATAATTTGATGAAACGTCTTCATCTACTGATGATTTCAGCCTTCATGAAAAACCATGGCTGTAATATGATGATCTATTAGCCATTAACTATAAGAATGTTTTGTGGTAGTTTTATAACCATCTGCTGAGTGTGAGTGTTTAACTACAATATTATATTTCACCCACAAACAAAACTATAACAGAGTCTCTGGCTGTTAAATGGTTTCTGATGTGTATTTTGCAAGGTGCAACAAAGAAAGAGTTAAAAAAATAACCTTTAGGACAACTTAGCACTATTTTTATGTCATAACTGTGGATTTAATCATGGTCCATTTACTGTTTCTCAAAAGAGAAAACAGGTATTTCTCAAGCAACTGTAAAGAAAAAACTGGCTCTGTTCCAAGACAGTATTTCTTGGCCAGTATTTAAGCATGCTTTTAAAAATTCACTCTTCATCTATATTTATATATGGACTTTAAATAATTTAATAGAAGTCTTAAAAGGAGCAAAAAGTCTGAAGACAGTTTTCAGAAATACATCAGCAAAACATTGATTTGAAGAATACAATGAAGCTTTATCTTCAGTACAATGTTCTACACAATTTGCCTTAGGAGATTCGTAATAGATTTTCATTTTGGTGCCAAGGTTCAGACATGTCTAAAGTAATTTCATTTAAGGATTTTCTGCCCTAATAATAATAGACCAAGGGCACATATAAAACAGTTGCCTTTTTGTACACCCTCGGGAATTTACAAGGAAGCACCATGAACTTGATTGTAAATATTGGATATTGCTATTTTTATTGTTAGTGTAAAAGCTCCTTAATTCCTTCTCCAGAGGCAAACTCCTCTCAGTTCTCAAACTTTATGGTTTTCCCATCCTGAACACTGAGTGTGCAGCTTAAAGATCACCCAAAGATGGTATTACACACATTAACGTACTGCTCGGTCCAACAGATTATTAAGATAGTGTTACTTGACTGCTCTTCCAACTTTTCAGTCATACAACATGGTAATATTTCTCTGCTGTGCCCGGATGTATGATTATGTTAAAGTCAAAATTATCCTTAAAAGAACCACCAAATGAGAATGCCAAAATACAAGTTTTCGGTCTACAATGCAAATATTTGACTTCAGATTAAAGAACTGTTAGCAATAATTCCAAGAAAAAACAAGTTTCCACACCTAATATTCATTTTGGAGTCAAGCGCTCTAGCGTTCCTGGGCTGTATCAATACTAACTTTGGAGTTGTGCCATTGCAAAGTTGTTACTACTTTATTATATAATATGCCTTCATTATGTAATGTGGTCCATTTTATATGCTTAAAATTATGTCATTCATAATAAAGTTAGATGTAAGGCTTTTGCTTTTCGCACACAAACTGCCACCCACATTCAGTCTGTAAATCAAACGCACACAGACATACGTCCCCCAGCTCCCTCAGCTTCTTCCGAGTTATCTGTCTCTTGCAATAAAACCTTCCCAGGTCCTGGAAGTAAAACCTTTTCCTTTCACTACAGGCAGATGATCTTTGTCTAGAGGAGATTCTGCGCTCCCTCTTACGGAAACTCATGGAAAATCTGTCTCTTGCCAGTCTCCCCTTGAGGTTCAACCAGTGCTCCCGCCGGGGTTGAGGACTCGGTCTCAGCCTCCCCGGCAGGTAGACGACTCTCGCCGCTTTTTAACTCGGGCAAGGAGCATCGGTGACCGCTGCGAGCCCTCGGCAGCGCCCCAGCCTGGCGCCCTCTCCCACTGGCCTTCCCAGCCCTCACCCGGCGCCCGGAGGAGGACGGGGCACTTACAGCCGGCGGCCGAGCTCCTCCACCGAGCGCCCGCAGGAGGGCACCGAGTAGCTCAGCAGGAACACCGCGACGCTCCACTGCTGAACCAGCCTCCGCAGCATCGTATCCTCTCGCTCTCGCGACCTGCAACAGAGTGGAAAGGGGCCCGAAGTGTCAGTCCGGAATCTCCATCTCCCGGGACTACCACGCTCCCCGTTTTAGCTGGCTCTCAAGTTGCATCGAGGGCATCTCCCAAGTTGCAAAGAAAAAAACCAAAAAAAAAACAACAAAAAACCAAAAAAAAAAAAAAAAAAAAAAAAAACCAACTTTCTCTGAAGCCTCTCAGCACTTACTTATATAGGAATCAGCTACTGCAACCGTGCTTTTTCCAAAACCACACAGGCAAAAAGGGACCAAAAGGAAAACAAAGCAAAACAAAGCAAAAATCAGAGACGTTCCTCTGAAATAATAACCACCGTGAAATGCTTTTATATATGCACAAATGATGAGCAGCGTGTTTACACGTCTTCCCTATCAATGTCTAATTAAATCTGGCCGGCAGTTCTCCCAGGTTCGTGGAGCAGAGCTAACCCCTTCCTAAAAAGAGAAGAAAGTTTCCCCCTCTGAAGTCAGCTTCTTTGCGAACTAGGCCGTCTTGTTCCAGAGCCACTTGTAGAGACCCACATTTATATACATAGCTGTCTGTCTACCTCCTCTGGTGGGCTGGTTGCTTCCGGAAAGTTGATTCCACACACCCTGAGAACAAGTTTCAAGTGCGTGTGTCGTCGATCAGGAGGGCCAGGTGGCAACGAGGGCGGGTTAATAGCGGCTCGGAGGGGAGGCGGCGGCCCGAGCGGCAGGGCAGCGGCGGCCCCGCTTCACGGGCGGGGAGGCATGCTGGCCGGGCGGCGCAGGTTGGAGGCGAGTTGAAAGCCTAGCAGAGGAATGTTCACACGCTCCCAGGCAAACCTGCCGGAGAAGTGAGCTAGTCGCAAAGAGGTGGCGCCCTTGGAACGCGCGCGGGGCGAGCAAGGGCGCGGGCGCGCGGGGGGCGGGGGCGGCGACGGGCGGCCCGAGCGGGCCCCGCGCGGCCCGAGCGAACCGAGGGGAGCCCTGAGCTGGGAGTGTACTGCGAGCGGCGGAGCTCCCCGCGCCTCCGGCTCGGCCGCCCCCGGCGCTGCCCGGAGGTCCGCCGAGCCCCACCCCAGAGCGCCGGTCCCGCCGTGCCGTCCCGCGGCCGGGGGCGTGAGCGGATCTGCCAGCTCCCCCTGGGTCCGACCGGCCCCAGGCTGCACGGCGGAGCTGCGAGCTGAGGTCCCCGAGGGCGTGCGGGCGGCCCGAACAGTCACGGCGCCCGGCTGGACGCGCGGGCGCCGAGGCCGCCGAGGCCGCCGGGGGCGAACTGGCAAGGCGGAGGCCAAGGAGCAGGGGCCGCAGAGCGCGGACGCCCGGAATCCTCCGCGGGGAGGTCGCGGGCGGTTGGCCCGTGGCTTTAAGGAGCCCTGAGACCGCCCGGGAGCTTGGGGAGCGACATGGGAACCCTCCTCCATGGCCCTTTCCAGGGACCCGCTGAGTGGGGAGCATCGGCTAAGGGGTGGGGGGGAAGATCCTTCGCTTAGAAGAGTAAAAAAAGGTTTCAGACTTCAGGTCGAGATTACATTTCTTGCTGGCTTAGAACAGCTGAGGACGTCTGGAGCTGGTCCAAGAAAACCCGCATACGTGATGGAGACCCTCTTTGGAATTGCCGAGGTGGACCGACACTCCTGGGGAGCGCACACGGCCCCTTCGCCCACCGACGAGAGTCTAACCCACCCTTTCCCAGACAGCCTACTCTCTCGCCCCCACCCCACCCCACCCCCAGCCCAGTCCCCTGTTACATATTCTGGGATGACTCTATCCGTGTCGCTTCAGCCCACAGATGAAGCGGAACTATCGCTGTACGCGGCTCTGCCTCGGAGAAGCGAAGGGAAAGCAGGGGGTTCTTCCCAAACTATTGGGCGGGGAAGAAAGACTGCTCTGAATTACTGGGCAGTATCAGCTAGGAAAGGACTGGAGCGGATGTGAAAGCCCGCCCCACGGACTCCTCTATCTTTCTGAAATGAACGCGGGTAGTTGGGAACCATTCAAAGGATGTTTGTCTTCTAGATAGACAGCCCCACTGGTACGTTTCAATACTCTCTAGAAGGCGAGTGTGATTTGGAGATTTGAGGAGATTTAGGGAGCCTGACCTTTATCAAGCCTGGCTTCGTGGCTGATGCACCACGGATTTTACCGAGGGTGGGTGAAACAGCGCCCTCTCCCTCGCTGATCTCGGCTCCCTTTTCCCCTCTTTAAGTGCAGATAGCTAGCAGTTTAACATTAGCTGCTTAGTTTGGGTGGGAGTCACTCCTTCTCACAAGCTCCTTTCTCCCTCATTTGATTACCCTAAACTCCATATTTAAAAAGCTTGGCCTCCTCCCACTGGAAAAAAAAAATCTGGGAATTTCCACAATTTCCTTCGTTTAAGAATTTCTAAATGTTAGATCTGTTTGCATGGCATGAAAAGACAAAGTATCAGAGCTCAGAAATGTCAACCTTTGAATCTCTGACACTCTGATTTATAATAAATTCTTTCCAGAAAGAAGCAGGAGCCTTAATGTAATTATTCGATCTGAAGGGCGAAAATCTGTAAAAAAAATTTTTTTAAAAAAGTAAATCACAAATGAACTATTTAATACTTGCAAGTTGTCTAATATTAAAATGATAATATTTGCTTCCACAATAAAAAAACCCAAAGGTACTTAGCCAAATTTCAAACTACTCAGGCTTTAAAAAGTCAACCCTCTCCCAATAACAGGTTAAAACATAGGTTGAAAATATCAAATCACTTATGCCATAAATAAATTCATTATACTCTCAGAACATTATAAATTAAAGGCTGCCATCAATAGACTGCTTTGATTTATGTTGCTTTTTCTACTAATGAAACAAAATGGACCGCCCTCCCTCCCTCTTTTCTTTTCCCCACACACTTTTCTGGTGTTAATGGCAAAACATCTATCAAATATTTTTAGAATTTCCTCTCCTCCACAAAAAGAGAAAATATAGACACAGGAAAAATAAATAGTCTTTATATACTTGGAATCCTGAAGCTTCCTAATAGTGTATTACTTCACCTTTTCCTTGATTTACAGTCTTCTCTGCTCCTCTGGCCAAACGAAGGGGATCTTCTCAGCGGTCTCTTCCAGAAATAATTTTTGTTGCTGTTCTTCAGAAAAGTAAAATTAAGTCTTAAATGAATTAAAAACTTCCTAAGGAGGCTTTTCTGTTCTCACTAAAGGCAATTATTAGAAAGCAGGTAGCTCTGCTAAGCTGCCCTGTTTATTACTTTGAGTAGAAATTCTCCTCAATATATAGTCAGGACCCTGACTTCTTGCCCTTGCGAAAAGGATATTTTTCTGACATCATAATCTAGTTCCCAATATAACTGAGTAACCTCCAGGATAATGCTGAGAACATAACTACAAATGAGATGACTCCACACTAGGAGGGGTTTGGGGTTTTTTTGAGGGGGGGTTGCTTAGGCATTGAGTGAGTGCCAATAGAGGCTGAATGCTTGCTTAGGACTTGCTATCACTTAAATGCACCTTAGCAAATAGGAGGATTTGAAGGCCTGTCTTTAATCTGAAGTATTTCCATGTGAAGACAAGTTAGCATTGTGAGATCTACACCTACACGAATGCCGAGCCCATGAGCAAGCCGCAGACTTCCATCTTCCAGTCCCCAATGGCAGCATTATATGCCAATTTTAAGAAGAGATTTTCTAAACTTTTCAGTACACTTTTACTCCTAAATTCATGTTAAAATAACCAATTGAAGTATATCTCCAGGGATATCTCCTATTGCAATTAAGTAAGAAACCGTAACATTTATGTTTAGCTTTTTCATCTTTTCCCCTCCTCAGCCCAAACAACAAGCTAATAAACATACAAACCAAAAAGGTCCCTAGAGCTCTTGAAACAGTGCACCTGGGCTCAGAAATTCCCTTATGACCAATCAGCATCCCTTATCTTATTACCAATAACATTTGCCAGTCTGTAGCTCCAAGCTATTTTTCTAAATCTTATGAAACCAAACAACTGAACTCATCCCTTCTCCTAACTTTTTCTTTGTTTACATAGAGAAGTTTGCTAAATTACCTCAAGTAAAATTATTATTTGATTCTATTAGAATGTGGTCTGAGACTTGAGAGGAGGCTATTGCCAGCTGACCTCAAGGTAGCAAAATGCATTTAAATCCCAAGTAGGCTTAGGAAAGGGTGTGTGATTATTAAATCTCTTCCTAGTTAGATGATAAGACCCAAACAGAGGCTGCCTTCTCCAGGAATAGGGCTGGTTGCTGACATCTGCAGGAACTGCCTCAGGGAGAAATGCCTAGACATGCAACGGGCTAATGGGATTCTCTTATTGGAAAAGTGGGTTTCACAGGATCCTCACCCTTCCCTACATCCTGGGCCATGTTCAGCTTTCCCCAAACAGGACCAGAAAGTTCAGTAGTGAGGCACTTTTCCCTGAGGCCACAAGCCAATGTGAGCTGAGAAGGTCTTTAGGAAATGGGGGTCTCTAGGGGCCAGTTCTCCAAGGTCAAGTACTTGTGCACCTCCTAAATCCATGACCATCATAACTCCTCTGAGGAGTCTTCTGGCCGGGGATGGTGCTCCTGTGTGTGTGTTGGGTGAGGGGGTGTCAGGGGGTGGTGTGGGGGGATAAAGGGGGAGCAGTTAAGAACAGGAGTCCTGATACCCTGGACTGATGCCTGACAGATGCCCTTGGCTGGGCCGAGTTCTTGGCTCCTCGAAGTAGGCAACTCTGAACTTGTGCGAGACCACAGGGAGAGTCCCACCTGGCTCAGACGACAACCCCTCAACCTGCAACTGATCCCGGATAGGGCGGTGCCACACAGCCTTCCTGGCCGGTTCCCAGCTCCTCTGTGAGTAGAAGAATCGTCCTTTCTTAAAATGTGAGCCCTGCTGTCTGCAAGGCGCTGCCCACGGGAGTCACTGGGACCTTGAAGGCTGTTTACTCCCCTAACACCATTCTCCACCTCTGCAAAACAGGGCAGCTCTCAGTCTCTTCTCAAGGCAGCACCCGGAGTAGGGTGCCCATCCCGTCTGGCACAAAGACATCCGGCACCCTCAGTTAGACGGGCGTTGTGTCTCTTTCGCTTTCAGCTTGTGGTGACGGTGTCTTCGGGTTCTGCCTGCCCTTCCTGGGACTCTTGTCAGAATTAAGGGCTCTGGAAAGCAAGCATGAAAGCTGCACGCTTCCTCTCTGGGGTCTCCTGGCTCAGTGGTTGCGCGCCAGACTCAGCGAGGCGAGGTGTGTGTCTTTCAGGGAAGCAGTGCAGGATCTCGAAAGAGGCATGAGCACCTCTGGACGATCTTTATCAGCCTCCCCCCGCCTCCCGCTACAGAATTAGCTCGCCTGTTGCAGATGCGATCCCCGAGGAGGATGCGGGTTTGGCTCCCGGGGATACTAGGCTTGCTGGAAAGTTCAGAGGCCTGGGAGCCCCTTGGCAGTCTAGCTATGGTTCCTGGGTTTTGGGGCTTCCTTCCCTGAGAATTTGGATTCAGGATTGTCACACAGAATCCGTTCTGTCGCGAGCGGTAGAAATGAGGCCTTCGCGCCCCGCCCCATCCCGCTGGGTTTTGCGCGTGGTTTCGCTCCTGGGTACAGCCAAAGTCGCCAGCCCAGCCCTCCCGCCCCTCGCAGGAGGGCCCCGCTCCTGCTTGCAGGCGAAAGGAAACTGCGGGGAACAGTATGACCCAAGGACAGGGTCCGAAGGCGCGAGCGAACTTCCTCCAAGCAGGGCTCTCCCCTCCCTTCTCCCTTCTGGTCAATCTATGACTCAAACTTGACATAAGCCCCTGGCAGACGGTGACCATAAATTCCCAGTGGGGGTGGGGGAAGAGAAGGGTGGGGGCAGATGTACCCCACCCTTCCACCACCACCCCCTCCTGGGCCCTGTCCCGGTGCAGGTCCCGGTCCCCGGGGGGGTGTGCAGGGACGACTCCCTCTTCCCCAAGCCCCGGGACTAGCCCTCTGCCAGCCCGCCTCCCGTCGGTGCAGCTCCAGAGCCCCGGGGCCCGTCTGTTTTATTTCATTTAACACAATCCGCACAGCCAAGGCGGGGTGAGGGGCCGCGCCGGCAAGGAGAGGAAATGAAGGGACGTGGAACAAAGTTCTCTCTGCCAACTCTCTCCGTCTGATTCTTAGAATCCAGTGGTACCTTAAAGGACTGATGGGAGGGCAAGGAGGGTTATTAATTCTCGAAGCCCGCTCTGTCTATATATAGCTGCTCAGTGGTTGCAGTTGGCGATCGCGGGGGGTGTAGACCGTGGAACATGGCACGTCTCCAGGGCATAAAAACCAACCTAGCTGGTGGCTCCTGTGGAGTTTGTGAACAGCGCGGAGCTGGCTGGGGGAAGCCAGTGAGCTGTCCATGGTGGTTAAGAGTCCTTGACATGCGTGTTCGGGCTGTCCTGGAGAGGCGCGGACCCCCCTCCCAATCTCCCTTCCCCCCCCCCCAGCACGCCGGGGGCCGCGACACCCTGCAGCCCGAGGCTGCCGGCGACAGAGCCGCTGCGCGCCGGGCACGAGGCTGGATGTGTTCGTTTGCACAACTCCGGGACGCGCTGTCGCAGAGGCAGAATTCCAGAGATAGACGGAAACAAACTCGAGTCCAAATTGTGGGTTTCCTTTCAGCTCCTTCCTGAAGGTGTCTTTCCCCCTCAGGCAACACTGAGCTTGCTTTGAGAAACGTTGGTCCATCCAGCAGCCTACTTCCCTTCGCTGTGCTAAGGTTCTATTCTCCAGCGAACGAGCACGATGGTGTTGTTAATGCTTCCCCTATTGGTTAAAAGCATCTATGAACTGAATGCGGGAGAGTATCGCTATGGGAATGTCCACAAACCCACTTTATTGCTGAAGATTGTCGGGTGTCTCAGGGCTTTCCCAGGGGCGGTTGGGGTCCTTTGTAAAATATTATTGCTCAGAGGAGCGAGTTCTTTATTATTCACCAGAGCCCTGAACGGTGTGATTGCCACTTCTTAGCAAAGGAGGAAACAAAGAAATTCCCATGTAATATGCAATATTGTAGGTCCATTCTCCCTGAAGTCCGTTTTGCCCAGTTCTTGTGACATATTCTTTTGAAGAACTGTTTATGAACTTAATTAAGCTCTTATACATATTTAAGGCAAAGAATGTTTTGTCTTCTTAATTGTCACCACATTTTACCTTTTTGTCTTTTAATTTCTCTTGGCAATTCCGCCCACTTATCTCTATTAGCCATCTCATCTCCATTTGAGTAGCAAATTCCCTTAAATACTATGAAAAACTACAAAATATTGTAAACATTTATAGCTTTTATTTGAATTTTGTGCCTTTGTTTATGGAGTG